TTTTTTATTTGTTTTTTTCTGATTGCCCTGCGGATCCTCGGGTTAATGTAAGAGTTAACCCGGTGCTTGCCTTTCCCAGCGAGGTGTCTTCCTGTCCCGGAGCGGCGTGGCTCTCCAGCTCTGGACCCTTTCCGTCCTCCTGTTGGGTGCTTACCCACACGGTGTGCGATCATCCCGCCACCCTCTCCGTGCTCTCCACTGCTGCCTTGCCCCGGCGTCCAAACCGGGGCATTTGGGTTCAAACCCATCGGCAGCTGTCTCCAAGTTGGCTTATCGCGACCTACCTCGATCTCGTGACCGCGGTAACTCCCGACCGCCAAACTCAGGATCCTCTCCTAAATGGTGCTAGGGACCGTATATCCGTCGTTGTTGGGTGGTTTTTCGAGGGTTAACTGCACTTGCGGGCCTCGGCCTCCCCCGGGGAGGGGAGGAGGGGGGGAGGCGGAGAGTGTGGTGAATGGCGGAACTGCTGGATATTAAATGGAATCAGGCAAGGGTTTCATGCACCACGGCACAGATCTACGAAAAAGCTGCTTCTCAAGTTGTTTGAGTGGTTTGCTCACGGTAAACGTTGGAAGCAGGCACAAACCGACGTGAGACGAGGAGAAAGATGAAAAAGTTTTGCTGAGAAGGCTGATAGGAAATACCCTGTTGTTGCTTTTTTTCTCCCAGGTGGGTGACGCGAAGCGAGCCATCAAGGGTTTGGACGATGGGATACGAGGAATGAAAAGCGGTGGCACTCGGCGTATCGTGGTACCACCTGAGGTGAGTTCTGCCTACTCTCGGGCACACCACGAACATTGGAATGTTACCTACTTCGATGACCCTGAATGCACAGTACCTCCGAGTACAGCAATGAGGTCGCTGAATTGGGAGATATTCGTGCCCATTCGTAAATATATCGTAGTTTGTGAAGCGAGTTGCAGGAGCGTCTCGGTAGGGGGCAAGTGGAAAGGTGTTCTTCCTTTGCATACGCCTTTCAACAAGACCTCTGTTGCGAAAGCCCCAGCGCGTGAACGCTTTGTATGCGATCCACCTCGTCAAACCGACAGGCAGGGAGCATGCAAGCCCTGGAGTGAACAATGGTACATTTACATTCGCAGTAGGGTAGATACTTATCTAAATAATATAGTACCGTCCCAAACTAGGCTTGTTGAACCCAGGACAGAAGAGGAACCGCCCCACCAAGGATGAGGGCATCACCGTAATGTTGCCTGGCATACATTCCTTCATTGCTTCGTACCCTGAGCAAAATTGCCGGTGTACGTGTGTGTGCTGCTGGGCCTCTTGTGTTTTTTTCACCCGCAACGCGCAGCTGGGCTATATTGAAGGATGCAAGGACGGAAACCCGGGGCCGATCCCGATGGGCCTGGGGCCGAAGCAGCAGATCAACACCCGCAACAAGGAGCCCCTGACCTTCGTGAGTGCTGCCAGGTTACCGGCGGTTCATGCTTGAGTTATCCACCAGGCCTTGATGGGCACTGTTTCTCCAAGAAGAGCACGCCCGTGTCTATGTATTGCAGTGTTTCAACAAGACACCGGCGTCGGCATCGCGCTTGAAGCGCTACGATAGATACCACATGCTTACCCAGCAGCAACAAACATCTCGCTTCACAGCACAGACACCAATGCGTGGGGTGAGGAAAAGCTCTTGAGGTGCGAGGATTGGTGCTGAATGGGATAGTTCACTGCGCGAGACACGGCGAACAGAAACACCCAGCCGTAGACCAAACTATGGGCAGAGTGTTGGATTCGCTTCCCGACACAGTGGCCACAAGCGCTGCGGCGAGTACACCGCGGCATCTTTGCGAGATTGCTGCAGCTCCGGTTGTTGAGAACATGGCAAACTTCGACCGCTTGTTGTGACAAAAACGCACGTTCACCTCTATCGATTTGTGGTGTTTGTCGAAGGTGAAGCATACTTCGAGTGCTACCATTCACTTGTCAAAACACATCTAAAAAACAACAAGCGAGAGTTTTCGTGGCATGTATTATTGTTCTGGGTCAGGGTGAGATACATCTTGACCGTCATGGTTCGGCGTATCCGTACGGTTTCCTGTCCTGTCTAACCGCTGATTGTTTGCTTTGGTTGGCAGGAGGTGAAACTGACCAAGGTTCGATAACGCGTGGAACGAAGGAGAAAGAGAAAACCTGCTGCCGCGTCAACAATCATCAGAACATTGACTGCGAACAGGGCACGCTCGTTGGCATCGAATAAAAGCGTACAATAGACACTTGACTAGACATTACGGGCTGTAATATTAATGTTCTTCGTAGGTTGTGGGCGAAACAAGGAAGAAACCGGCCTTGATTTAGAGGCATGAAGTCATTTTTTGACGGGATGTAGAGTAGAGTCGGCAGGACCGTAGAGTGTCGTCGGCAGGACAGCCAATAACGACAATCTGAAACGAATGCAGAATATTTACAACTCGGTGGATGAAAGCAGCGGTGAAAGTTGCCAATGCGCAGTCTTCATCGAAGCTACCGTAGAGAAATGTAGCATAAACGTTTGACGCTTTGGGGGCTCCGCCGCCGAATTGCAGCCGGTTAGTTTTAAGACGGACGCGTCACAACATTGCAGAGAGGGTATCGGGAACCTTGGAATCGCAATATCTACTGCTCTTCGCGAGAGAGCATCCGCAAGCTTGGCGCTGTTTTTCCAGGCCTTGTAGTTTGTCGGTCAAGGGTCAATCGTGCCAATGTTTTTGCAGTCTCATTCATTTCGCGAAGAATACAATGTGGCCTAGAAGGTTTAGTCTATGCGGTGACCTACCTCTACTGATTTTTCCACCGCGCACGGGAATCATGTTGAGGGGGGCAAACAGCTGAAACAGACACAACATGGCCCGTGCAGGTCGAATGGTTGTACATGTTGTCACGCTTGTCATCGTGACATGCCATATTGAGATTACTTCGCTCGTCGACTTGAAAAAACAAGACTCTTCGTCCGGTGTCAACAAACATAGGCTAGACGTACACACCAGGAGGTCCGAACAGGTGGTATGGTTTTCCCACCATCAGGCAATTCATTGTGGGTACTTGGGGGATGATCATAAGAGCCTTCTCGCACGGCGCCTACGCCAACGTAAAGACAATACAACAAGCAGCAAGGTGGACGAGATGAGCAACAGCAAGTCTTCGGCTGCAAGCCCGATGGAGCTTGTACGAAGAGGTCGGCCAGCGTGCGGCGTGTTGATCTCGACGTGTTTGAATACCTTCGGACCTTGCCACATAGTGCCAACCCAACGAGTAAAAGACTCGAAATTTTTCGAAAGCTTTGTAGGCACGAACCATTCCGGCAGCCAATCTTCTTGCGTGCTGTTGTGGCCTTCCTCGTTCTCCCGACGCTGCCAGAGGCTTGCCAACCGCCCTCCGGAAGCACGGTTCAAGTACAATCTTCCCGAAACGCGCGGTGGAAAGAAGGAGACACAAGAGCGACAAAGGCATCAGCCCGAACCAAGTGCACGCGATGCACTTTTTTTCAACACCTGCATCAAGATTAATTTCAGAGCCGAAACAAAAGTCGGAGAGCGGTAGAGGGAGGGCTAATATGGTGACAGCCTAGTACCCGGAAGTTCATTCACCTGATTTTCGCCAGAAAAATCAATAGCTGAATCGGCATCCCGGTTAGACCCTGGTCAACGTCAGCCATCGCAGCAGGTACATTCCGAGCTCGGTCGTAGAACGTCAAGGCCTTGGCGTAGTCCAGGGGAACGCCTAGGCCGTGTTCGTACAAGTATCCTGAACAGGCGGAGGGCACACATTTATATGGGCTGTTAGCGAATCCTCGAGACCTACGTAAGTCCTTGAACCACAGTTTTTGGGATCGAGAATAAGCCAGTCTCATCTCGCTTGTGCACGATGAGAGTATATGTTATGAGAAGGTATGGGTGTTACTGCCCATGGTGACACGAGTAAACGAATACCCACCAAGATTGTAGGTTCCGCGAAACAAGCCTGAAGAACTGGCCCTGACATACCACCAGCACGCTAGGGTTGGCTCCCTGTGCAATACGGTAGCAGGACAAAGCGCAGGGGTGACCAATCGTAACTTGTGTTTGCAGGGCAGTCGTTCCGTACCATTTGGGGAGTATTGGCAAGCGATATTCGATCGGTCGCCCAAGACAAAAACACGTCGAAAAAAAATGCCACGTGGTTTGACTTAAACCCACGGAGCTTAAGCTCTTCCCATCTGACTATTCGTTGTATTCCAGTTTCATGGATCCCTCAGAGCTACTGATAGTTGTTGGCATGGAATACACAGGTAGGAAGGCGTTGGAGGAGCCAACGCCTCGAGTTCTAGTCCATCTTGTCAGCTGGTACATTGTTTGTGAATACCAAGTGTTTCCGCTCATCATGCTATCGGCGAAGGGCAAAAACCTTTTCTACCTACCTCGGAAGTCCGGCCCTTCCGTAAAAAAAGGCGTCTCCGATCGCCAGAAACGATGGTGCGTAACCTTTCGTGGCGGTCATGATGTGGAGCCGAACAGCCATAGTCTCTGACCACACCGGAGCAGAACGGCCACCTGTGTGGTGACCAAAATTGGCATGCACATACGTCGACCAAAGTATCAGATGCACATACGTTGACGAATGTATTACCTGGAGAAAAAAATGCTTTAACTCTGTCTTCCTGGTCTGCATGTTCGACAATTCACCTTGAAATAATTCACCGTCCAAGCGGAGCTTTCCTTCATCCAGTAGAAACGCCGCGTTGCTGGCGGCCACCTCATACCCGAGCTCTGCCGTCTGTGAAGAGATTGTCAAGGAGTGGGATTGCCGTCAACCACACGATATTGATGCTTACGTGCCTTTTGCCTGAACGATACCGAGTGAAGCACAATCGACGGACTGACGGTTCCACGACACAAGTTACCTCTGAGTACATAGAAAGAGCAGACAGCACATCACCCTGGAGATAGCAGTCGAACGCCAGTCGGAGTCGCCGCCCCCACGGGCCAGCCTGTATTCGACGCGCGAGGTTTACCAGCAAGTGTTTTCTGAAGTAAGAGCAAGGCGAAGCAATGTTTCCGACTTTTCTGGGACTGCCTCAAACGTACTGGCCCTGTTCAAGTTGTGTTTGGGTATCGGTTAGAAGGAAGGTGATGACCGGGGAGAATCATTAAGGGTTGGAAACGAAGGCGTGACGCCTCAGCAAATACATGGCTAACAGATCATCCTCAAGAGGGAATGTATGTACTCAACCAACATTAGACAGTTCCTCACCTGAGCCACGACAGCCAAGTACTTCGCTGCAAGCGCAGGATCACGTTCCACGCCAATCCCCTGGGCGTACATGTACCCTAGCTCATACGCGCAATCGACGTGGCCCCACCCGGCTCCAAGCCGGAACAATTCCGCGGCACTACGAATCAAGAAAGGGTGTATGGCGTGGCGTAGATAGTTTGTTGTCCAGCATGGTGCCCTTGGTTGGTTGCCGTGGAAAGCGTTGCGCATCTCGTTGATATTGCGAACACAAAAAGCAAGTAGGGCACGCTCGGCTTGTTGTTGGGGTACCTTGTAGCAGTTTATGCAGTAGAAACACACCGTTCAAGGTCTTGGTCTGTCCCGATCCCGTGAGCGAGGCAGTGGGCGGTGTTGAAGAGAGAATCAGCTTCCTGCTTCATGTTCGAGGCTCTTTCGAAATACCCGAAGGCCTTCGTCTGTTGGGATAGGACAGTTCAACGAAACACAGCCACCCACGCGTTGCGTTGTTGAAGGTTTCACCTTGTGCCCAGCAGTATCGAACGAGCACAGGGAGGAAATACTTCTACTTTCATGCATAGCCGTGGGGCTAGTTAGTTGTCGACAGAAAATAAAATTGATATCCCTGGCGTACCCGACCCTATGATGGACCTACATAGCTTCATATTCTCCTCAAGGACCGTAGCAAATGCCGACAAACGTCTTCTGTTTTAGCTCCGCCATTGAACCTGATCTACACACTCATACACACGTTCACTGACTACTCACGAAATTTTGAGGAAGAACGTGCCCGTTGAAGTACACATATCCCAGTCCGTTCAGAGCTCGTACATAGCCTTCGGCGGCCGCGAGCTCGAATAGTTCCACCGCCTTTGTGTGGTTTACTTTGGTCCCTTCGCCCTTTAAGTACATGCCCTGTCATGAATTTCAAAGATCGGCGCCATGTCGACGAAAATCATGTCAATTAAGCGATATAACACCAATCGTAAAGCGTAGGAAGCTTCAACATATGACTATGCACGGCGGCGTTTTCGAGGAGAACAATAACAAACGATTGCCACGACAAATTGTAGGCCATGCGAGTAAAAGGTTAGCAAACCCTGACTGACATCTAGCAGGCGATGGGGGCCACCCTAAAATACCTTTGACGAAATCATACGAACAAGGAAGTGCAGTTCATCGGCTCACAAAATCGCGCTCTAGGATCACTCACCGCTGCAGCGCACCGTGCGTTGTTGCTTCCAGCGTGGGAAGCTCGGTTAAAGTATTGCAGTGCTCGACTCTGATCACGAGTGACCCCCCGCGCCCCCCAGTAGTAAAGGTCAGCCATAGCTTCAATGCTGGGAACATCGCCCTGCTCCGCCCGATGAATCTGTTGTGTCATGAACATTTACAAGCCGGTTTGGTGTTCAAACGGGGTTTCAACCTGTGACGGTGCAACTACATGCTCCAGCCCTCTCCTGCACCCGGTGTGATATGGCTGTCGGTTGCCTCACTACCTTGGCTCAAGCGTGGACGTGCCTTCATTTATGTTTCTTGATGGTTGTGTTTGTGATTGCTTGTGCTTGGAGTATGAATCGATACAGTAGCACAAGAGTATGATGAGTAGAAACAAGTATCCAGTCCACCGGAAGATAAGAGCAAGTTCTTCTTTCTCTTCAGCGTAAAAATTTCCCTTGGCCTACAGGAAATTGTAGACCGTCCTCGAAACGCGACCCTTTTGTGACCTCTGTTTTTCGTACGAGGATCTTGTCTGTTCACCTGGTACTGAAGGGCGTCGTCGTCTTCTCCTTTTTGCCCGACCTCCACAACGGCTTCGTTCGCTGCTGTCAGGCGTTGCATTTCGAGTATAGGCTGCTTACCCACCAGGTGGTATTCGGCGTGCGCTTTGTCGCATGCACATGCAAGGTAGTAAGCTGCCGTTTCCATATCGAGTTGTACCCCATTTCCTTGGAGATATCTGCTTACGCAGCGTGCACGAGAAACGCCAAGACCAAGAGCGCAGGGGTTTCACACGCTTTTAGGAGGCGACGGGGTACGGGAGGACGTTTGGCAAGATCTCATTGGGTTGCGCCCCACCCGTTTTTCTCGATCCACCACACGAGCCAAGTTGGAATTACCCCTCTACCCACTGGTGTATCTTACCTTAAACCCAGGGCTAGCTGTGCTTCGGAGTAACCACCGACCGCCGCGAAGTGGAGTAAGGCGATAGCCCTTGAAGTGGTCGGCACTTTCCACGTTTTCAGACTCCCTCTGTTGCTGTCCTCTTCGTGAGTGGTGTTTGCTGCGCTCATCCATTGGTCTAGCACCGCGGCACCAACCCCGACGCCGGCAAAATGCTGGGTTGTTGGAGCAACTCGGTACGATTGACACCTCGCGCAATCTGCCAGAAACCAGATGGGAGCTGCGCTGAGCACATAGATTCGGCAATGAGCTTACCGCTAGAACGGTTGCCGCTAGACCCCCAATGATCTTCTACCCAGAAACAATCGCTGATGAAAATTGAAGACCGTGTTCGTCAAGGATTGTTCTTCCGTCAAAGTTGTCTCACCTGCGATTGATCGATCGTGTGCGGCAGTGCCGCCAAGCCCGCTTAGCATTGTCGTCGCAAGCATATATGCCGCCCGGAAAGATCCGCCTAGCACTGCCAGCTCGAGTTGATCGACTGCGACTCTTGCCCCACCATCATTCCACTGTGCCACGGCGGTCGCTCGTGCCTCTAGCTCCGTTTCTCTTCCGCATCTCGCAGCATTTTCCCCGTCGAGCTGCTCTCGCCCAGTCAGAAGAAGCGAAGCGTACCTGTTTTTTTGGGCAGTTTCGAGCAACCATGGGGCGAGGAGCAAGAACGTTCATCTCCTTTGTCGTCGGCTCTCACTACTATTGGGAAGGCCGGCGCACTGCTGAAGCGGATTTTGTAGGCGCCACGTGCGCGTCTAACCTCCAAAGTCACACGAGCAACGCCCCTTGGCTTCGACTACTTCTACTGTGGTGTCACACTTGCAGAGTATCCAGACACACAAGAGGCCAGTATTTCGCCAATTCAAAACCTAGACCTTCCTGATCATGTTTTTTGCACACCTCACTCGTGATTCGACGTGCCCGGCTTCGCTGGCAATTCGGTACAAATCAAGGCGTTCGGCGAACGCCTTGCAAAGATCCGTTGCTGCCACTGCTGCCTCATAAGCAGAGCGTCCGAGCTCTAGGTGGGATGGATCTGACCAGATCGTCCCTGTCTCTTCAACCCAAAGACCACCTTGACTACGACGCCGTAAATTTGCGTGACGCGGGACGGTGTTCGGCGTTCAGTGTTTAGGTGATGCAGAGAAAAGGCGGTTGGTACATGATATGCAAGCGCTTCTCGTGTCGCACACGTTCAATCGTTTACCTCTTCATCGTTGGAAAACGAAACTTCAATAAACTTGGGAGGTATCAATTGTTAAATTTATTCAAACTCACGTTGAAGTTGTCTGCATCCTCGATGTCATGGAAACAATGGCGTGAATTGAAGAATAGCGAGATACCAAAGCAGTCGACGCTTCGCGGAGAAACAGAGGCTTTGATGCCTGAAATACGGCGTCGACCTCATCTGGAGAAAGCGCCCCCTTCCACAGCCGCACCAAGGAAACTAGAGACCTGGGCATAGGGCATACAAACGCGGCAGGTAAAAGAGACGCCTAGTATTGTAAGAGGGGGTTAGCTCCTGCTCGAGGCGTTGAGCCGTTCCGACTTCGACCCCCTAAATGTACTTGTCCAAAGCAAGTTGAACCGACTCTCGAACCTGCCGTCGGGAGACGAGGCACAGCACAAGACAAAGTACTTCGGCCGAACGCGAGGACGAATCGGTTCGGACTGCACCGCGATCCATGACCTTGTGGGGCTGATATCGGTTTTTATCCTGTCGTAGTAGACCCACCTGGGACCGAGATTGCTCGTATCGCGCCCAATGTGCAGAGGCCCGTCGTTCCCCAAGACGGTTGTTCCGTCGAATTGCACAGATATGTCGAGCGTTCCATTGATGAAGATGGCGGACGAGAACTCCCCGCTTGTGGTGTTGTCGAAGGTAAAAACCACATGATTCCAGGCCCCCGCGTTGAGGGATGCTACAGAATCCGCACCAATGTCGGCGTTTGTGTCGCTTGTGACCCTCAGCGCGATGCGGTTGGAATGTGGACACAACCAGGCTGATGGTGTACGCCCCATTTTTGCACCCCCATCGCCCTTGTAAAATAGGCCACGAAAACTGTCCAAGAGTAGACGACACATGACGGCAATAGGACAGATAAGGCTGGGAGACAAGGACCGTCGACTGCCGGCCCAATCTCTTTCTTGGGCCAAACACCCAGCCTGCGTTGTTGGTCGTCTCAGCACCCAGTGTCTTATTTTTCTGTCGTGCCAGATCTTGCTGATTATTTACAAATTGTTGTTGTCCTCGTCTTTTTACTCTGCGTCGCTTCGGCTGTACCTCCCCAATGATGCCATGTGTAGGTGCCTCCGTGGCTGATCAAGATTGTTGAGCAATGTGGTTCGTGACGGGAGCCCCAAAGATCGATACCGTGACGGGAGCCCCAAAGATCGATACCGAGTTTCAAATAACACTTCCAGATATGCTTTCATCACTGCCAGCTACCCCTGACTCTCACCCTAGTCGAAACACCTACTCTGACCGTATTGCGAACCCGAGGGTCAAAAGGCGCTCGCCCGGCGTCGTCGCGGTATTGACCGACATTTGTGAACGCAACTATACTGGCGGAGTTAGCCTATAGTGCGCTTACTTCAAGATGGTTTGCCTTCAGGGGTTTCGTCCACGACGTGCTTGGGGAGGGGGACGCCGAAGAAAACATCACGCTCCCCGTAGACACCATCATTAAAATACCCACATTCAGGGGTTGGGGTTGAGGATCACGCTTCTTATTCCACACCATCTTCTTCTACGCCCAAACCCTAATGTCTCGTCGTCGCTCACGCTTGATATCGTCCTGTTTGTCGTGAAAACAGTATCGTCGTAAAGGTGTGGGTACTAGGAGGCACCCTGAAGAAAAACGTTTCAAGCTGTCGAGTGGAGCTGTGTCTGGTGTCCATGGAACAAATGGCCACACCTTCCAGTAGCATCGTCCAGGAGGTAAACCCAAAGGGAGAAGCTCCATGAGCTACGCCTTCCAGGTATCATCTGTTCCGATTGAATACCTCCAAGGGGTTCCCGCTGATGGTGGAACAGGCTGGAAGGAACCTGGTTGGAAAGTTGGAAGCAACGGAGAACACTACACGTTTGAGTTTGCTCGAGAAAAAATACAGACGACTCATTCCTTTTTATCATGCTTGCCCAAGTTGCACCACGGTCTCGTTGCTTGAGACAAGCAATTAGTGTTGATTGAAGGGAAGTCCTGGCATCCACGCACAACGTGTTCCTTACCTTTAGCCATTTGTCTCCTGGCATCGACAAGACCCCATCTGCGCTGAAGAACGGCTGCGGGTCTTCAACGCTGCCACTCCCGGGGTTGCTCAAAGCAACAACCACCTGCTCCGGGCAAAGGTCAACTTCAATGATCTCAGCACTAGAATCCAGTTGCTCCCCGACGAAGAGATGTGCTACGAACCGTCCAGGAAAAGACATTCGCATGGTCAGGCTGCCCCTTAGTTGGTCCGGTGACCCGGTTTTGCCCCCTCCATTGTCTGCACCAACCAAAACCTTCTCTCTTGGTTTTACATGAAACTCCCCACTTGAGATAGAAGCCGTGATCGCTCTCCAGCTTCCAGGATCCAAGTCAGTGATGGAGAGGACCTCCCCGTCTGTGCTCCATTCGCCTCGGCCAGCCGTCACTGTGATCTCACCCCGATTGATCACTAAGGCGTTGTTCAGGTCGACATCTCCATTGAGGGGAGGGCGGTTTGTTGGCTCGGAAAACTGAAGGACCACAAATGCCCCGTCTGTACCGCGACTCCATTTTGCCTGTCATTTGTGAACAGAACGTAAGTTCTGTTGGAAAGAACGATGACCACTAGACCACCAGTCAGCGCTGACTGGTGGTAGATTGTATTCGAGTGGGTGCGCAGGACGGGTACGATGTCAAGTAGACAAGAGCATCTCGTCGAGTAACCGATGGAGCAAATCTGCGGCGGCAGTCGAAAGGTCAGTAGACAGGCAGTGTCTACTCGTCATTGTCTTTTGAGGAGAGTGCTTACCGTGCGAACTTCCGGTATCTTGAACGCGCCATGGTCCCAGGATTGGATGACACTATGCATCATCTGGAGACTGTCCGGCACCCTTTGTACAATTTCAAGGGAGGGGGATGGTTGTCCGCCTTTGTGACCGTACTGAAATAAATCGAACCTCGCGATAGGCTTTGGGATACTGCTCACATCGTGCACCTCAATCCAGACCAGCTCCCCCCCTCCACTCCCGTCGCCTACTTCCCATTTGATAAGCACCGCATCTTGTACACACACCGCCGTGCTTCGTTCGTTTCCCTTTTGAACTGGTATACTTGAGGTATCCAGAGAAATCTTCGAGAGCGACAGCTGTATCCAACAAGCTGTCAGCAGAAGTTGTGTCCAACGTTTCTCCATCAATCTCAGCTCCTGAAAGCAGTACACACTAGTTATGCTGCCGCTATGAATGGTTTCTGAAGAGCTGCTTGTGCCTTTTACCCCTGGATCCTGGGATCCGATACTGACAGGAGAAGGCGGAGAGATACGTACACCACACCGGAGATTACGGAGATTGATCGGGGTTGGGCCGCGTTTTTTCTGTGCTGTAAGCTGGAAGCTGCAACACGCTCTCCGCGTGTATCCCATCACACTCCTATCGGCTCAAGGACATCTAGGGCTCTTAGAGGCCAAACAGATCGGGTAAGTTAGAGGTTGAGGTGTAGATCTATGAATCTACTACTGCTGCTGCTACTGCTGTACGGTATGCGTAGAACCACGAATATACCTAAAATAGGACCACAGCGTCGAGATTGCTGGGTGTTTCGGCTTCCCTGCCTGACTGACTCAAGACGAATTGCGCTATTGATAGAAGCAGTTTGCTTACTCCGCGCCTTTCGGAAGCGTCTGCGTAGACACAGTGTAGCTCCTAACATGCGAAAAAAAGAAAGGTGAGATTTTGCGTGTTGTCGAAAAAGGGATGGTGCAAGGCTTGAATCCACTCCTATCTGGTTTCGTGAAAGAGTTTAGGAAGATACAATTGTCGACGTCCTTCCATAACATGTTACCGTGGCAAGGATGACCTTCGCTGGGGCGGAGTGCGGACTTCAAATCCGTAGGCGATTAGCGTCGCAGCAGTTCGATTCTGCCTTCCCTGCGTCCTTTTTTTTATTGTAATAATACAACAACTGCACAGCAGTGGGGGCTACGGTTTAGAGAGCTCGCCGGTTAAGAGAGGTCAAAATAGCCAGACACACCCCTGTCTTAAACCGAACCGGTTTGTGGGTGTGTGGTTCTGGAGGCGTTTGGAGTCGTGCAGATTTTATTTGCACGACGGTCGTGCAAATAGCGGTTGCCCCGAACCTACCCCCCC